TACGTGGGTGATCTATTGCGATCATCTAAGCTTCGTACGCTAATCGTACTCCCCGTACGCCCAAGATACTCGGCTTACCCCAAAATCCTTGTAACTTCAAACGGGCATAACTTCTTCTTTCCAACTCCAATCTCGGCGATCGTTATATCCACAAAAAGGTAATGAGAAGCTCTATAATCCTATCAACTCTCCTTTTCTTTAAAACTTACCAAACTTAAGTCCAAAGTTCATGAAATAAGTTTGAAACACCACTTTTCCCGTTTTACCCTTTAACTTTAAAACGCAATCAAGGACTTAGACCGTACAACCAATATTATCACCCTCCAATAGTTTTTAAACCTTATTCCATTGAAGCCCAAGGCCTTTACTAGATCCATTTATCACCCACAATCATGAAATAAGAAACTTCTTGAAATAGGATGTTATAGTACCCTAGCAAAAGTAGCACCTAAGAAACATATCTCTATTTTCCATTTCCGTCTCATGCACATCCCAACATAAAACTACCCAATTACCAAACTTAATTGAACTAAACATTCCCTTTAAATCCTAATGTATAACTAGACAACATTACCTGTAATCAATACAATTTCCTACCTATGTAATATTTTTTAAAATATAGGATGGAACTAAATACTCATTTCATTTAATTCGAACTAAGTTTCCTTTATAAATCTTATTTTATTACTAGGTAAGACTATAATGCTTACAATGAATTTCTAAACCATTTTCCTATTTATACCGTATTATCGCAATACACCATATGATTATTTTTTTATCCAACTTAACTGGATCTAAATATTCTTTATATGTCTTAGTTTAGAACTTAGACGAGACCACAATCCTTGTAACTGACATTTAATATTAACTACTGTTTAAATGATACTTATCGTAACTTAGTGTATATTGTTAACACAAAGTATATTTTAACATGCAATATTCTTTTAAGTAATAATTCCTTTTAAAAGTATCACGTAATAGTAGCATTTAAACATTTTAACAAGTAATTAACCATAACTGGTGCACATAATGCATGTTACCAAATACACATTTAACAAATATTTCAGATAATAAGCAATTAATTCACAAATAAAGTTTTAACATAAATTTAATATTTTTTTAATAATTATTGTTATTAAATTGTGTTCATGAAAGTAACAATGCACTCACCTGATATAGGTGTAAGATTTACAGGAAAGTTAGATCTTTGCCTGACACTTCATATTCCTTTCTATAATGAACTAAACATGATTATTACCAAGCCTTGGTATTCATTGGTATTTATAAGGTATAATTGTTATAAAGTTTTTACAAGATTTATCAATAGTACCAAAAGTACACTCACATATAGTTATAAGAAATAACAAGGTAAGATCGTATCAGATGTATGATCCGTTTGGCATATAAAGATATACTTTTTGAAAATTTCATTTTAAACACCACATTGATATTGTCTTGTCATCGTTCCCGTAAGTAGATCCAGACCCGATCCAAACGGTGGGTAACCCGGGCGGTCACCCAGGACCCATGTTTCTAGGGGGTGCAAAATTCCTAGTATATATATATATATATATATATATATATATATATATATATATATATATATATATATATATATATATATATATATATAATGAGAAAAAAAATCAACTCCTCTAAAAATACAAGGATTTCTTTTTAGATTAATTGTTTTTGGAATGTTGTGGCCATATTTTGTCTTTTCAATATTAATAATAAATTTTATAAAGATCTATCTATTTTCAACTTTAGAAGCCTATTTATTCTTTTTGCCCTAGGTTCACTATATCTTTGGACCGGCCGTGAGTAGATCTGTCAACATAATGACTGATAGTATTGATATATTTTATTTATAAGTTCATAATAACGATTATTAACATTAATATATGTTATACTTAAAGCATGATAAGCAACTTACATGTTGTTTAAAGAAAACAGACATTACGCAGGCAGAACTTCGAAACTAAAAGCTATATTTCTCGGAGCTATCTAACGCTCTAAATCTTCACTACTAACTCATAAGAGTTACTAAGATCGGGCCTCGGGACCTCAAGAGAGAAATGAAGAAGATTGAACAACAAATGAAGTAGAAAACGAGCGTGTTTGTGTGTTTGTGTGTGTGTGTATATCATTTTTTGAAGAGCGCGTTGTGTCCTACCATGAGTCGCCCCTTTGTGCCTTGCCGTGCGGAGGAAGGGTTGAGTGAGATCTTGACACATGTCGCACTCTGGTGGTGCCATGTGTCGGTTCGCGGTTGGTCTAAATTTATTTTCCTTCTAAAAATCATAACTTTTGCATACACACTCTTTTTTGAATACTTTTTATATCTACGCGTAGCTATCGATGAGAAATACAACTGTCATTTAGATTTCGTCAAATGATTTTTACTTTATTTTTCATGATTCGGTTTGAAAAATTTACACTACAAATAATGCTGCGAAATTCATAACTTATTTATTAATGGGAAAACTACAATAAAGTCCCTACATATTGGCCTCATAATCGATTTAGTCCCTATATTTTTTTTTTATTCAATTAAGTCCCAAATACCGGTAATCGTATTCAATTTAATCCTTTGACCCGGTCAACAGGTCATCCAACTTTCAAAAATTACATTTTTGGCCCAGATTTCAAAATTTATTACAAATTTGGTCCAAAATTTACACTTTTGGCCCGAATTTTAATTTTTTTTTACAAATTTGGTCCAAACTTTACCTTTTTTGCCCAAATTTTAGAATTTTATTATGAATTCATCCTAATTTTAGTTTTTTTGCAACTTTTTTTTTTCAAAAAATTGTTTCTAATATGTTTTTTCTTTATAAAATCATATTTATACCAAAAAAATGTATTTTCACATAAAAATCTTATATTTTCTATATAAAACTTTTTTTAAAAAGTTTTTTGTATATGAAATATCTAGTTATAAAAATATGTATTTATTTAGTATATAAATATATATAAATTTGTTTTTATAAAAAAATGTATACACACCTATCACCTTATATATATATATATATATATATATATATATATATATATATATATATATATATATATATATATATATATATGCACACAAATAGGTGTGTATCTATATTTTTTTATAAAATCGTGTTTGTTTATATTTTTTTTATAAAAACGTGTTTGAATAATTTTTTATATAATACGTGTTCGTATACATTTTATAAAAACGTGTTTAAATAAGTTTTTATATAATACGTGTTTATATATATTTTATAAAATCGTGTTTGTATACATTTTATAAAATGTATACAAACACGTATTATATAAAAAAATATTCAAACATGTTTTTATAAAAAAAATATAAACAAAAACGATTTTATAAAAAAAATAGATAAAATAGGTGTTTGTATACATTTTTTTTCATAAAGACGGATTTCTATATATTTATATACTTAATAAATACTTATTTTTATAACTAAATATTTCATATACAAAAAACTTTTTGAAGAAAGTTTTTTTATAACTAAATATTTCATATACAAACACGATTTAATAAAAAAAATATAGATACACACCTATTTGTGTGCATATATATATATATATATATATATATATATATATATATATATATATATATATATAAAGGTGATAGGTGTGTGTACATTTTTTTATAAAAACAAATTTATATATATTTATATACTAAATAAATACATATTTTTATAACTAGATATTTCATATACAAAAAACTTTTTAAAAAAAGTTTTATATAGAAAATATAAGATTTTTATGTGAAAATACATTTTTTTTGGTATAAATATGATTTTATAAAGAAAAAACATATTAGAAACATTTTTTTGAAAAAAAAAGTTGCAAAAAAACTAAAATTAGGATGAATTCATAATAAAATTCTAAAATTTGGGCAAAAAAGGTAAAGTTTGGACCAAATTTGTAAAAAAAAATTAAAATCCGGGCCAAAAGTGTAAATTTTGGATCAAATTTGTAATAAATTTTGAAATCTGGGCCAAAAATGTAATTTTTGAAAGTTGGATGACCTGTTGACCGGGTCAAAGGATTAAATTGAATACGATTACCGGTATTTGGGACTTAATTGAATAAAAAAAATATATAGGGACTAAATCGATTATGAGGCCAATATGTAGGGACTTTATTGTAGTTTTCCCTTTATTAATTAACCATTCTAATTAAAATTACGACCTTCATAATTCAATAGTATGGAGACGCTACTCTTTTCATGCACATATTGGTGTTCACGGTTCATGGCTTAAATTGGTTGTGTAAAGTTTACCCGACTGCTTTTCAATCATTTGGATAACTCCCATTGTGCCAGATCTCTTGCTGCTGCAATGTTCGATGTCTATTTTTGATGTTGGGTGGTTATTGTCTTGTAGTGACTAATGTTGTTTTCTCCTTTTCTCCATGTACGTACTCTTGCAGTTCCCTACTCGTCCTTTTTATTTTTAATACAATGTCTTGCGTTCAAAAATAAAAATGATAGAATTTACATAATAAGAACCAAAAATATAAAAAATCACTATCCTCACAACCGTTCTTTGTAATTTTATTAAAATGTATAAAGATAAGTTCAAATAACAATGCAAAAATCATTAAACCTTAATAACACAAGTTAAAGTTGTGGTCGCTAATGGCAACCGACGGATTCCTTGGTGGCAACATCATGACTATCATAATTATGAAAACACGTGAACGTGAAGGTGACAAGTTGTTCCAGAAAAACCAAAATAGTAGCATATGGCACGTTTGGACCATCTCATCAACCCCATACATTTATGCGTCAGCGTGTAGCATCTCGACAAAGAGAGAAACAGCTCAACCTGGGTTGCTTTTAATTGATTCCTTATTTTCCGGTAAAATAATGTTTATTTATGTATTTTAAAACAAAACTACAATTATCCAAACTTTGGGTCATTATTCAAATCATCGACAGATAAGACATTAATTATTACCCCATCATAACTTGGACAAAAAGCGAAAAACCACTACTTCTTGGGTGCTTTGATGTATGCCAAATGTGTCGAGTTTCCAACTCTTGTTAATGTTTTCAAATCGTAAGCAATCCAGCACCTCGATCCTTGTGTATGATAAAAATAGCCCATGCACTTACAGTCCTTGGTGCATTTGCTCTCGCAGTCGCTTTGCTTCCTTCCACCATCTCCCCTTGTGTACTTAATCATAAAATGGTCAACACCTTCAAGCTTGTAGTACGCAAAGTCGCTAGCTTTACAAGATGTCACCTTTGCCTCACAATCTTTGCTCCATCCACTTAGTCCGTTTGGCGTTGGGCATGCGACACATTCGCTATTCTCACATAGCCCTAACTTCCCACATCGCTCTGGCAACTGGCATTCTCCTTCAATCGAGTTTCGGTCAAGAAACGTGTAGACCAGTTCCCAGGCCACGCCTTGTACGTTCGAGTTATACGTGTAAAATCTAAGGTTTCCATCTATGCCTAGTCGAAGGTAGGACAACGTGTTGTTGTATCTTGAATAGGCCATGTTGCGATTCCAACCGGAGGGAGGGTTTGTGATGTAATACAGGAAAGTTAAGTAATAAAGAAAACCCTCATCAGTATCTGGGACAGAAGTAAGGGTTAAGTTTATCAAACTACCATTGGTGACAGTAGCAACGTCAACATTGAACCATTCGACGGAGGTCCAATAAAGCATTGGGCGAGGCGAGTTGGCGCTCTTGTAATACATGGCTAGCTGTTTAGGCTCCATGATCAAGCTATATGGTCCATCGATGTTGTTCGCAGCAGAAGCCCGACTCACCAGCTTACTGACACCACCAGCTCTGAGAGATTGACCTACCAAAAGAGTATCAGTTGGGGAGTCGAAGCTTTGCCATATGAAATTCCCCTTGCCATCATGAAGAACCATGTTGCCGGTGGGGAGCAACTGAAAACCGACGACACCTTTGTTGGCGGTATTTGTTTGCCAGGCAATGCGCCCATCGGAATCCGCCAGGATAAGGTTTCCATCTGTACCGAAGGTGAGGGTGGCGTTCTCACGAACAGGGTTCCCCCGGTTAGCTTCCCAAACCCAACGCATGAGCGACTCCGATCGGACAGTACCCATACGTAGAGCGAGAGTGAACGTGTTAGGGGTGGTGTTGTAGAAACAAAGCTGGAATGGGTTACTGAAAGGGTGAAGAGTACGATAATCTGCATCGTACTCGACCACATAATCTCCAAAATCACCTTCGTTTATGTACGTGAAAGTGTCTGAAGCAGGCACTACAGCTTCAGAAATGGTGGAAAGTACTTGAAAGGTGAGCAGAAGTAGAAGGGAAGATGCATAGATAGATTTGGGATAAGCCATTTTTGTTGGTGCTTTGAGAGAATAAAAGATCCGGTATATATAGAATGGATAATATGGAAGCCGACGGTATTATCCTACATGTAGAAACCATGTGTCTGTTCTCTTTCTATTTTGTATTTGGAGGTCGGGTGGCTGCGCAAAGGAAACGATAATGAAAAGTTAGTCGAAAACAGAGAGGCAAAGTTTGAAGTGAATCTAGGGTGCTTGCAATTACGTTTTGTTATTGCAACTTGCTGTAAGTATTATCCGTTTGGTGGAAGGAAGACGCCAATTAGCAAACATAAAAACCATCGATATACCTTTTATTATTATGATGATGCTACTAAATATAGATTGTATATGAGGCAGAAGCCTTAGAGATGAAACATAACATTGTTTAATAAGTTTGAATATACTAGGAGACACTAACATGGAGCATCTTATCAACTAGAGAGCTGACCGAAATTTCAAAACTCCATATCAACTTTATTCCGTTGGTCACTAAATATCATGTAAAATTACTGGTATGTTTATTGTTAGCGGTAGTTAATTAAGTCAGCTAGTGCTATTTCTGCTGGTTAATGTGTTACATAGTTATATAATTTGTTACACTGTTTTAGAGGGCAGACTCGGATAAACGACCTAGAGTTTGCAAATTTCTAAATGTTGCACTAATATATAAAATGAAATTTCTCTCTCTCTCTCTCTCTCTCTCTCTCTCTCTCTCTCTCTCTCTATATATATATATATATATATATATATATATATCTTGAAGAGGAAAAATTTGAAGAATAACCCAGGATACCTTCGGCTCCATGCTAGAGTCTGCCAACGAGTGTGTGATGACATTAATTATTAGTGTACATGTTTGGGTTGTATATATCCTGATATAAATTCAGGAATACAAAAAATATTAATTCTTGATATAACTTCATTAATATAAAAGACATTAATTCTTTGTTTTTTTTCATGTCTTTTGTAGCTTCTTTACAATATGGTAACTGAGAGCAATATATTTGTTTGTGTTATCACTTTCAAATTCCTTTACTGTTATGGTCTTCAATTCAGGTAACTTGTATTTCATATCCTAATGTTTTCTTCATCACATTTCTTTTTTAAATTTAATTAATTCTAAGTTCATATTCTACACTTTTTTATTTGAATTGCATCAGGTAATTAGATTTAT